TATAGCCTACTTATGTGCGCAAGTATGCACATATTTCCCTAAGTGCTTCACGCTCTTTCGATCACAAAAAGAAGCCTCAATGAAAATGGGGTTCGGACACCAGGGTGTATACGCGTCCACCCCCTTTCGCGTTTTTTATCCCATGCATCTCCATCGAGACTAGGGAAAAAATACAGTGGCGGGTATGGAAAGGGTCCAGTGACAAATGAACGCCTTTCTTTTGTCACGTAGTGTTAGTCCCCCTTTTAAACCTCACTCGTTTTTTTTTTGTTTTTTTTTTTTTATCCGTGTCCTTGTCACGCCGAGCAGTCCGGTGCTGCTCCAATCCAGCTGTGACTGTCACACTCCTTTCGTTGCTGTTATTATTTTTTTTTTCGTCTCATTAACTCAGATGGACCGCAGTCGGGGCACCAACGCGTTCAAACAGATGCACGATCGGATCGGCTGAGTTGTAGCTTCTCCTTCGCTCCAAGTGTAACAGACTCGAGCCGGGAGATATCGGGTCCCTGAACCGGCGCCCTGTCCAGCGCGCTCGTGTTGATGATTGTTGTTTACCTCTCAAACGGACACGACAGCGCCCTTTCGTGTTTTTTGTCGTTGTCGTTGATGATTTTTTGTGTGCCTCGGTGGGGTCCGGACGGACGGGGTGTCGCTCCTTTTGTTGGTGTCATTGTCGGAGTAGACACCCACTGCTCACGCCTTGGTCGAGTGGGACGCGGCACGGAGAGGGGGTCGTCGGCTTTCGGACGCCTGCTCTCCTCGTGCACGTTCGAGAGGACTCGGGTTCACATCGCGCGTTAAAGCTGTCTCCTCTGTCGCACAAACGTCCGTCCACTTGGTCCCCGCGTCTGTGTACGTATACACACGCCACAGGCTGAAGCGGAACAATGCGACTGGGCGGTAGCCGGAAGCATATACTAGATATGCTTGGTAGACGCTGGGAGCGCGTGATGGCGTTCGAGTTCGCAGGCCCGTAAAGAAAAAAAAAAAAAAAACGCGTATTTTAAACGCATTTTTTTTTTTTTTTTTTATGCACGCTTTTGCGCTAGAGAGCTGACTCAGGTCGTCGTCATTCTGTGGCAAAATGTAGCCCTACAGCGAAGCACAAAGGAAAGCACGTTTCCTGCCTTGTGATTTGTCCTCCGGAGTTCTTCAGTTGCGGTCAAACTGCTAATATGCCATACAAATACAAAAAAAAAAAAAAAAAAAAAAAAAAAACAGCTCGCAGACATTGTTTGAGACGCGCTTCTTGCTTGTATTACCGGGGTTCAATCTCCACCTCTGCCCGTTTCGATCTGCATGAGCATCATACCTGCCTGCGGTCGTGTATCACTACTGCGTGATGCACGTTAAAGACCCCAAGTTAGCGGTTGTACCGCACTGGCTAAATTGCTCATCTACAGCTCAGACACCAGACGCCCACTGAGGCAGACTATAGCTTCCGGCTGTATAAACATAGACACAACAATTTGCTTTTTGCTTGTATTACCGCGTACGTGGCGCACCTGGCAACGCACGCAGTTGCCACGCGAAGGAACGATGATCGGTACGGTACAAACTGCGCATCCGCTATATCGGAAGACTCGCGCATGCGCAGTTTGTACCGTAGGGACCATCGTACTCTATCAGACGAGCAAAGACGGTTCCATAAAACTCTCTAGTAAGCCTTTGTATAGTTTCAGTTTAACATGCATCTCTTTCGTTATCCATGACAGTCTGACGGTTGCGTACGCGTGAGAGGTCACCGCAGACATTCATGTCGGAAGCGAACACAGCGCTTTTGCGTAGAATGTACGAGGTGCGATAAAAAAAAAAGGTTTCGAGATTGATTTTGTAAAGTAAAAAGATAGGGCAGGTCGGTGATGCTCGGGCAGCAGTCGAAAGAAGGGAACTTTGCTCTCTCGATACGCCAGTTGGTGTCGTTTTGCGACCATTTGAAGCTGCGTTATGCACGAGATTTTGTGGCCAGGTGCACGATCACAATGGCGATTTCGCCGTAGACTGTCGCCAACCAGAGAGAGAGGGAACATCGATCTTTTATTATTTTTTTAGAGACTACTGTATAATATTTGTGCTCTTTGCTGTTGTTTTTTTCTCTCTTTATACTTGTGTACCCCGCTTCCCTAAATAACGCCTCTGGTCCTGAGGGCAAATAAATAATAAAATAGAATAAATGAACAAATAATGATCTCATGTTGTCCATTCGCTTCCACTCGAAACTTATACGTTCAGCTCTAGTAATGTTATTACATATTTGACACTACTGTTTTTTTTAAATATAATTGAGGATTTTTTCGCCTTAAATACCACTAAAACGCAAGTATTTTCTTATAATGCTGCTATAAAAATCGCCAGGCAAGAAAAGCTGTGGTGTGAATAATTTTTTTTTTCTCGAGACAGGTTAAACGGAATTATTTTCTAATGAATTGAGAGATAAGGCAACGACAGCGTGCTTGCTCTTTTGTTTTATTAAACAATTTCAACGCGTTTGTCGGAGGACGGCATTTTAAAGCTTGTTCTCACATCAGGTATGGGCCCAAAGTAGTCACGAACAAATCAAAGCTAAAGACGTCACTGGCAAAACGGCAATTTTACGAAAGGCTAAAAGCACGAGGTCTATGAAGCCCCTGAGGTGTTACGGAGACACCCGGCTGCTTTGCATCGTGAGACACCAACAATGCTTTTTTTATTATTATTTTATTATTTTTTGTTTAAAATAAATGCACCTTTCCACCCTGCCGTATACGTCGGCCCTCAATATATCGGGGGTGGGCTGAAGGGTACGTTGGCCCTCGATATTTCGGGGGTGGGCTGAAGGGTACGTTGGCCCTCGATATTTCGGAGGTGGGCTGAAGGGTACGTTGGCCCTCGATATTTCGGGGGTGGGCTGAAGGGGGCATCTGGCCCCTGCACTCAAATCGGTTCGAGACCGCTGCACTATACAGTGTTTTCTTTTTTTGGTTTTTTTTTATGCGTTGCTTCAGGGGCAACCGGGGTGCATCAGTTGCTTTAAGAAATGGTGGCGAATATTGGATAGAGTCGAGTGCCCACAGAGCAGTTGCTCCATTTTGTTCTCGCTGACGAACTATTTAACACAATCCGCTTATACGGAACCTATTTGTATCGGCTATTAGTTCACTCAGAGAAATGACTGGATGACGTCTCGAAAACGATAGCGCGTTTTCACATAACGACAACGTACCATTTTTTGTTAGAGGTTGGTGAACTATTATACTCGAACTCACAAATTGTGTATGGCGCTAGGAAAGCTAAGTACGCGAGCACGTGTTCCTTGAAATGGCTTAATTTCACCGAGACCAAATTTGGGGAACGCACTTTGAAGTCGGGAGTTCCACTTTCATTTGAAAGTATATATATATATATTCTATGCATTCATAGTGCTTTTGAGAGAGAGAAAAAGTTTTCTCTATTTATACGCCAAGCTTTGGCGCTGAGTTGTGGTTGGCCACCTACCCGGAAAATTCGTTACGCAGGTGAGCTATGAGCTCGGTTGTGTTCCTCTGCGCCTTGATGTCCGGGGATTCATTGCAGGGTAGCATGGAGGGAAGGATGGGTGTCAAGGTGACGTTGCAAAAGGCTGTGGATATGTCCGGGTAGCGCACCTTCGCGGAACCTGCGGCATGTTTCCTGGCTATCTGTTCGGATGTAAATGTGGTGAGTAGGATGGTGAGGTCGAGTGATGGCTTCAAGAACCGCTAGAGTCTCCGTGGCGGATGGGTAGGGGACACTGCGGTGTTCATTAATATGCTGATAGCCAGGTCCTATCCCAGCCGTTATGCTTCTGCTGGGACTGTGACTGGCATCTCTGTAGTAATATGTGGTACCCGTTCTCGGTGTCTCGCGGTCTATCCGTTCGACTAGTTGTGTGCGTCGGGCAGCATGTTTGTCCGGATGCTGGACCTTCCTGTCTGTATGGAGAACTATATTTCGTTTGAAGCAACTTTTCTTGGCTCTACACGACGCTTCATACGCAACCATCCACGATTCTACGATTAAATCGCAGCATCCAAACGCTTACGATGTTGGGGAATTTCAGTCTCGAGGCAAAATGTTTACATAAACAAAAATCTAGTTCGTAGTTACCTTCCGTTATTGTTCCATTTTTTCATTATCACACTGATCCTTCACCTATTCCCTCCTTGAGTATGTACAAACGACTCAGATTGAAGGTAAACGTTCGGCAGCCCTCTGCCTGGTTAAGAATAGACATGAAGCGAAAAATAGAACTCTAACCCAAAATTTAACCTCAAGGACGACAACAACCATTAACCTGTCAACACCTATAATACGCAATTAATCTAATTTACATGTAAGAACTAGTGTTTTTTACGCCGAAAACTCAACCAATATGCTCGGTTTTTGCACAAAAAAAAAAAGCGTGAAAGCTTTTTTTGCGAAGAGTGTCGCGTCAACAACAAACCAGAAATGATACCATGAAGGAAAGACACAGTACAACCAAATCGATTATGCGATTTAAAACAAGAACGGTGTGAGGTATCAACATAAACTGTGATGCAATATATTTCAGAAATTATTAGCCATTAGTCATTAGGGGTCGAATACTCCAAATTTAAGGAAAAGAAGAGTTGTACGGCAAGCCAGTGAGAGTTCTCGCGGGCCCCGCACAAACAAGTGATAAAAGAACGCATACTTTGTTTCGCTTGAAGTCGTACCACAGCGGACGACACAATCCGACGAAGCCATGAGTTCAAGCAGCGCCAAAAGTGAATCGTCACGAAGCTCGTTGTAGTTGTGAGGTTCGCATCATCAACTGAACCAATCAAACAAAAAAATAGGCAAAGGATGGCGGCGCATTTACTCCTCCTGATAGCACTAATAGCACACACATAAGGACGATTAGCGCCGTGACGCTGCACTTCTGGTGCCACCTGATCGGCGTTCTGGGATCGCACCGTAGGCTGTGGTTAGACATAAAGTGAAACGAAGTACGATGCGCAAACCTTGTTCCCACGTGAATTTCATGGACTGTGTAGAGGGATGTCAGTCTTGAAGGTTCGCTTACTTCGCTCACATCGCTTGGGGAAAGATGTTTTTGGGTGTTTTCTGGGCTGCATGGGAGTGGCTTGAGCGGAGCTCTTCAAGATTTGGTCGAGACGAACCATCTTCTCCTGGTGCTTCGCTTCATCCAAGTCCATGATGGTGTCCACTATGGCGCAGGACTTGGTCTCCGGAAGAAAGAGCACCGTCAGGGCAGCGAGAACGCCGCCAATACTAACGGCACAAAGGGTCGCCGTCCGGGCAACATCAAAGAGGACAGGTGCTGCCAAGCTGCCAAGCCTTCCGAAAAAGTACGCAGCGTATAGACCGGTGCTCCGAACCTCGGTCGGGAACAACTCTAGATTGTACGTGAATAACAGGGTAATGATAACGTCTATGAGGACATCGCACACCCGGTACATCACATCTACCAACACCGGGAAAAGCTCCAGCTCCACGAACAGGACGCCAAATCCGGAAATGACGGAGAACCCCACGAACACAGCACACAAGGTTCGTCTACGACTCACCCTCGTAAAGGACCAGTACGCCAGGAGGAAGCTGGGAACCTTGAGGATTACGCTGGTCAAAAGCAGCCAGATTGAGTCCGCTTTGTGTGCCTTGAAGCGCGCATAGTATGCGACGATGGCAACAAACCAGCAGAAGAACAGGATGACGCTGCGACGGAAGAGGATGGGCGAGTTCAGGATGCCGCTCAGGCCCGACTTGCCTCGGGCGGACAATGCAGCGTCGACCTGTCGCAGGGCTTCCCAGATGGTGCGCCACTGCCTTTTAGTCTGCTTCACGCTTTTCCTGTTCATCTGGGCCGCCCAGAGTATGGCCCGCTCCACGTCTTCGTACTTGGCCTTGCTGACGAGCCAGCGTGGCGACTCGGCGCTGACGTAGAAGGCGCAAGCGAGCAGCGATGTGGGAAGCATTATCAGAGCCTGTGCGAGAATCCAGTTGCTCCCGATGAGGCCTAGTGCGCCAAGAAAAGGCTGTGCTGTCATGAGGCTGCAGCTGAGCGCTAACATGCAGTACCGTATCTGGTACTTCGGAGCGCAGAGCTCGTACAGCAGCACGAAGCTGGTTATTCGGACGGCATTCACTGAGGCGGCCACAGAGGCACGCAGCACCACGAAGGGTACGAAGGTATTCACGATGCAGATGGTCGTTCCGGATACCAGCAGGACAGTGACAGAGATGCAGATGACCGGCCGACGGCCTACCTCGTCCGAAAAGTACCCCACGATTGGAGTGGCTGCCAAAGCGCTGGTGAAGTACGCTACTGAAGCAAACTTGAGCAGCCATCGCCGATCACAGATCAGGTTCCACTCCCTGATGATGGAGTTGCCGCTGCTTGGGTCAAAGTCCCATTCTTGGCAAGGTACCAGAGTTCGGTTTGATGATGCGACAGACAACGGGGGATTGTAGCGGAAGCAGTGATCCCAGACCCCATTGACATCAAGGGGGGCGCTAATGTTGCGCCACTCCTCGGCCGTTATGTTGAAGAACTCTTGAGGCTGTTTGCACCAGTGGTCAACGCTCGGGGCTATGATGTTCGGTAGCAAGTTGTGGGTGATGAGAGCAAACTGAGCCATCACGGCAATAAACAGTGCCGAGTACTGCAAGCAGCCGTTGCCGAAGGTCGCTGTCAAGTCAAAGCCCGGCTGTTCGTGCTCCTTGTACGTTTGCCATGCAGCCGTCAGTTGAACACCGGTGGCCTTATTCACTTTAGGCATTTCAATATCACTTTTTTTCTCTATATTTTTCTGAGGTGGGACCATGGGGTACTTGTCATCAATAGACAAGCCTTCTTGAGGACTGGGCAGTGGTGCTGCCTCTGTGAGTTGAGGCTCGGTGGGTTTAGACGGGTCCTGGGGATTAGCTGGAGGTTGCTTAACGCTCAGCGACACTTCGTCTGAAACAGTCTCTACGATGGACTTAGCATCTTCCACTGGACCAGCCTCAGTGGCCGGCCCTTCGGCTGACGTAGTTCTCTTGGTCAGCCTGCTATCGTCGACAGGCATGGGATTGGCCTCCCTGGCTGGCTTCTGATCGCCGGGCCTTGACTCGTCCACGGTGCCGATGGTGCGCGTTGAGTGCCGACTCTTCCTTGGTATTTTCTTCTCCTCCATGACTAGCGCTGATCGGTGTTCGGCGGATCTATGCGAGCAGTGTCCTGTCGCGTTCACAAGCTCGACGTGCTCGAGCTCAAGCGTGACATCGCATCCTCGTGAGTCTTGCTGGTGGCTGCTTGCGTCGTCGTTTTGTTGGCATCACCACTTTCTGTTTTTCACTGGAACGAGCAAATGGCATTTAATAATACTTTATATGCGTTGGCCTGTAGAAACGTTCTCAGCGGAGCACTTATTATTTGCGGCCCCGAAGTTTTTCCTGTGAATAAGGAGATGTCCCACTATGTGCCCCTCTACACTTTGTTTCATCTTATGTTGTACCGAAGCGAAGGCTAGACGCGCGAGATCCTAGCGTTGGCAGCCGCTCTTAAGTCACGAGAGCTTGTGCCGCCGAGATGTGCCCTAGAGCAAGGAGCTCGCGCTTGTAGCCTTTCCTGCGGTACATCAGGTGAAACAGAGTATACCGCTCTGCATATTGTCACTGAATACTGTGTTTCTATGTGTTCCTATTCAGTCAACTGTGTTCCTATTTAGTAAACGTTATTGGTCAGTAGTTGGTTTTTACAGCAGCTCTGCGACATTGTTACCCACACTGTAGATAAGAAATTTAGCCAGTGCAGTTCAACTGCTAGCCTGAGGCAGGGGAGGGGCAAAAGCAAATTGTTGTGTATGTTTATACAGCCGGAAGTTAGTCTGCCTTGGTGGGCGTCTGGTGTCTCAGCTATAGATAAGCAATTTAGCCAGCGTGGTACAACCGCTAACATGGGTCTTTAACGTGCACACGCAGTAGTGATATACAATCGCACGTTGGTACGATGCTCATCCAGATCAAAACAGACAGGGGCGGGGATTGAACCCAGGATTTCTGGGTTCAGCGCAGCACAAGCTTTCGCTCCAGGTGCTCCAAGCTGATGTGTGTTAGCGCGCCATTCAGTGACTCTATCTTGGGGTTGTCTGTATGTTTATAAAGCCTAGAACTTGGTCTGCCTCAATGGGCTACGAGTCTCTCAGCTGTAGATTGTGCTCGTCGTCACATAAATATAAAACAAAACGTTTTGCGTGTTATTCTTTCGCTACAGAAAATAGTCCTTGCGCAATATTCAGTTGTCGGGGGAAGAAACTGTTTTTGGCGTCCAAAACGTGTACGTTTTGATAAAATAAAGGCGGGCTAATCGAAAGCTTTCTCCCATGCGTATATCTTAATTGACCACATAAATGAGTTAATCAGTAATGCTCTGCAAGAAGCCGGACTTTATTCTTACCATGGATCTTGAGTTCCATACGAGCTTTCTCTTTGTTTCCACAGAATGTTAGGTAACCCCGTGCACAAAGCCAGCAAAGGAGAGACGCCTAGAGTACCGGCAGTCCATCCCCCGATGTTATTGTAAACGCCGCCATCTTGATGTTTAGTGCAGCGAGGCCTAACTGGCGATTGTCACGATTCGAAAATCCGTCTCTCTCCTGAGCTTTAGAGACGGAGACGGGACGCTCAGGCCATTGCGTTATTCTGCTCCATCGCGGCCTGTTTGAGCATTTCCAGAGGACGCGAAGCGCCGTTTCCTGTGGTTTCAGATAAAGCTTTAGGCAGTTGGCAACAAATATCTGAAGCTTCTGGGCATTGCTGTGCCTGTTGTTGTTTCCTTCTCCAAAGGGGATTCTTGCGATGTCCCGTATTGCCCGGTGGTCGATAGTTACAAAAATGCAAAAGGCAAGGAACTTGGTTAAAAATTTAAGGTGAACGAAACGAATCATGCAGAAGGAAAGAAAAGGATTTAAAGGGACACTGGCAGGGCACTTATGCTCGCCGAGGTTTTTATTTGAACCCGGCCCTCGAGAGCCTCTGTATATTAAGTACGAAACGGAGTATATCCTCTGTTACCTACTTAACATACAACGCTGTCAAAGCTACTGGCGCGATAGCGTGACTTCATCTATGGTTTCGTTTGCGCGATAACACGTGCAATCGATCAACGAGATCAAGCCGCATGCTCGCGCCAGCAGCTTTGACAACGTTGTATATTTAGTATGATACGAAGTATTGGGCAGGAGATTGAACTATAGGGGGCGCTTTATCGAGCTTGTTGTCCTCGCTATGGTCCTCACAGCCCAGTGTTTACTAACACAACATAATAAAGAAATTGAACTTCGCCTACCACGGTCTGGGCACGAGCGCTTCGCTCTTACCAGTGCTTTTGTTGCACGAGGAACGGCCTTCGAATCGTCATCTTCGATTTCTCGGATCAAAGACAAAGAATAAAATATTGCTTGTTGTCCCCGCCGCTAAAGACATGACTGTTTATTCTCCTGCCCAATAGGGAGTATTCACTGGCGGACATAGCTGTGTGCGCGAATGCTGAGCGCGTGCTGACGGCGAGCTTCCACAGTTCTTTTGTTTGTTTGTTTGTTTGTTTGTTTGTTTGTTTGTTTATTTTATTTTTGACACAACTGTCAGGGAGGTTGGGACAAAAGGCGAAAACGAATCACCTGACTAGGTCCAACGGTGCGGGGTGCAACGTGCACCCCGCACCATCAAGAGTGCCGGTCTTAGCAGCCTATTGAAGTGAGCTCGTTATGAGCATGCGCTCTATACAGCACCCACAAATATGGCGTCCAGTGAATTCTCCCTATAGCCCTGTATGCTCTCCCATAGCGCAATGTAAAACGGTTCAGAAGGGACACCCAGAAAACAAGGTATGTACAAAACAGCAAAATTTTTTATTCGAGGTGAAATCAACACGTTGTGGAAATATCAACGTAAACAGTGATATCGTTGCATTTCTTGCTCATTACCAAGGCAGGATTTATAACTGCATTAGAGTCGGCCACCTCAAATCTCTGTAAAAGGTGTAAAAAAAAAAGTTCACATTTTCGCAAGCGTCGTACAGATGTCAGATTGGACGACCCAAATTCTCATTACGCACGAGTTTCCCTTCACGAATTTTATAACCTGTGTCGAGGGTAAACCTACGGTTTATGTAGTTCTTTAAGCGACGCCCGCTGGTGTGTGCCTTGCCTTGAGTTTTTCTTTGATTCTTGACCTGATTGACGACGGCTTTAGCGGAGCTCTTCAGGAGCTCGTCTAGCCGATCTAACTTCTCTTGGAGCTTCGCTGCATCCATATCCTTGATGGTATCCACGATGATGCAGGACATGGTCTCCGGTAAGAAAAGTACAAGCAGGGCGGCGAACACGCCCAGTATAGATATAGCCAGAAGGCTCTCGGTATGGCTGAGCTCAAACATCAGAGGCTCTAATATACTACCGATCCTACCGAAAAAGTAGCCGGCGCATAGACCAATGCTACGAACCTCGGTCGGAAACAGCTCGACAGTAAACGTGAATAACAAGGTGATGGTCATGTCCACAAAGACGTTGCACACCCAGTGCATCATTTCCACTAACCATGGGAACAAATTGAACTCCGTGAGCAGGACGGCACACCCGAAATTGAGGGAGAACCCCGCAAATGCGCCGCACACAGTAGATCTACGGCCCAGCGTCGTCAAGAACCGGTACATCAGAAAGAAGCTAGGAATCTTTAGGGCTATGGTCACTGCAAGCAGCCAGAGGTATTCCGTTTTATGTACCCGGAAGCGTGCGTAGTAGGCAAGTACAGAGACAAGCCAGCAGTAACACAGGATGGCGCTACGACGGAGCATGATGGGCGAGCTCAGAATGCCACTCAGGCCCGACTTGACATGGGTGGACACTTCAATGTCCACCTGGCGCAGGGCCTCCCGCATCGGTCGCCACTGCATCATGGTCTGCTTCACGCCTTTCCTGTTCATCTTAGCCGCCCAGAGAATGGACCGTTCCGCGTCCTCGTACCTTGTCTTGCTGATGAGCCAGCGTGGCGACTCGGCTGTGACGTAGAAAGCGGATGCAAGCAGCGACGTTGGAAGCATCGTCACCACCTGCGCGAGGATCCAGTTGGTCTCGAAGAAACCTACTAGCCCCAGATAAAGCGGTGCTGTGATGAGGCCACCTCCGATTGCTAACACGCAATAGAGACATTGGTACTTTGGAGTGGACAGCTCATAGAGCAGCACGAAGCTGGTCAGTCGGACGGCTCCCACCGATGCGGCCACGACGACACGCAGCACCAGGAAGGTGTACAAGGTGCGCGCGAAGCAAACGGCCATTCCGAAGACTACCAGGGCTGCGACGGAGACGCAGATAATCGGTCGGCGGCCGACGCCATCCGACAACTTGCCCACGATAGGTACCGATGCCATGGCGCTGCTCATGTACACTACTGATGCGAGCGTGAGCAGCCAGCGCCGCTCACAGACCAAGTTCCACTCGCTGGTGATGGAGCGGCCGCTACCAGGCTCGTAGTCCCAGTCTCGGCAAGGTACCTGCGTTCTGTTAGATGAGGCCACGGACAGCGGTGGCTCGTAGTGAAAGCACTGATCCCAGGGACCGTTGACGCCCTGAGGCGTGCTGATGTTGCGCCACTCCTCGGCCGTCATGTTGAAGTACTCTGGAGGCTGCTTGCACCAGTGGACCACGCTGGGGGCAACGACGTTCAGCAGCAAGTTGTGGCAAAGGAGGGCAAACGTGCCGATCGTGGCGATCAGCAGTGCCGTGTACTGCAAGAAGCCATTGCCGTAAATCGTTGTCAAGTCTATGCCCGTCATAGGGCGGCCCCCTGGGTGCCACGAACCTTCAAGTTGGACGCCGGTGACCTCATTCACCTCGGGCCTCACAAAGTCTTTTTTCTCGGAAGTTTTCGTTTGCGAGACCGGACCCTTGTGATTGATAGGCAAGCGCTCTTGAGGAATGGCCGGCGAAGCATCATTCGAGACAGCAGCTGAGACTTGACGAATTGCGGATTTTGATGGGCCCGAATCAGCTTGGTGCTTGTCAACGTCTGGGGATGCTTCCTTTGAGACAGCGCCAGCGACACGTTTGGCCTCTTTGATGGACTTCGGCTTGGTGGCTAGTTTAGGTTCGTTGACTGGCGCCATCCCCTTGTGTAGCTTGCTATTTTCGACGGGATTTACCTTCTTGCCTGACCTCCGATCGAGGGAGTTTGGATCGTCCACGATGTCAACGGTGGGTGAAAAAGAGCGGCTAATCTTCTTTCGTTTTTGCTGCTCGTCCACGCCTGAGCTTTGGTCAGCGTTCGCCGGGTCGTTGCGAGCCGTGTTCTATCGTGTACAATAGCTCGATTGGCTCAATCTCCTTGAGCTCGAGCAGGTAGTGTTCTCGTGAATCACGTTGGTTGACGTGTGCGTCGTCGTGCGTCGTCGTCGTTGCTACGTATTTTTTTCTATAAATTTAAGAAGTTTTATTTTTTTTTTAATTGTAATCGTGTTCATCATTTATTTTTTAGATGATGATGATGTGTGTGTGTGTGTGGGGGGGGGGGGGGGGTAGAGGGAAGTGAAGTTTCTCAAGAAATCTTGAAGGCAGGTTGTTTATCTTCAGAATGCGTTCCCTGCACAGTGTTCAGAATAAATGTTTATTCAGTATAATGAAGAAGTTAAAATGTAAATTACGTTCGACGTCATGTGCATCCTTTATGATACCACGGTTGGACTACAGCCGGACGTACGCTCTCCCTTATTAGTGCAGAAATACGCTCGGACATCAGGCTGCAAGATAACGAAGAAGCGTAGACTGTGTTCATCGTTTTTGTGTTAACGAAAAAGAACAAGAAAGATCAAATTAAAAGCGCCTGCACGGGCCCGCGCGGACCAGCGAAATGCCACGCGTTTTCGAGTGACGTCGGAAGCGTGACGTGATGCTTTAAAGAGGTCGGGCCGACCGCCGATTGGTCAAAAAGGTGGAATCGCGATATGTCGTGCGAGTCGTTCATGTATCGGTTTTCACTTGTCATTCGAGGTTCAGACTGGAATTTAATCAATCAGTTTCACTACAGACCTTTACAAAACAAAGGGCTTCTGGCCGGCGCCTTTTTGGTGCACTTGCGTATGGCTCATGATTTGATCGCTTTGCTAACGACGAACGTTCACGTAATTGTGTTATGTGTATGTTTTTACAGCCGGAAGTTAGAAACATTCGCGTGCTGGGCTGTGGATTTGTAAATAATGGAACGGTGCATACTCCATCTCGCAAATGCCTAGAGTTAAGACAAAGAGTAATATTTTCCATTCAAGGCATCCAGCAAGTCAAACACGGTGAGGCAAGGGTTTATAGACGCTTTACACACGCGCCAGATTACAGCAGCCATTGTTGACCCTGCGCCGCCGGTAATTCGGCTGGCTACTATGCAAGTCGGACAAGCGAGGAGCCCACTCCAGGTGCTTGAGACCGGCCTGCTAGAAGTAAGCAGCCAACGGCAGCACCGCGAAGACCACAACCGCGAAGAATGCTGTTAGGCCTAACACACATATCCTAATCATCAGAACTTTCATATTGTATATTACATCATCACATAATCCTCTTCACTAGACGCGGCACCGCGGGCCTCCTTGGTACGGGCTGTTGCCTTTCTGCGGTGCCGCGGCTCTCCTGAGCAAATAAAGATGATTATGATTATGATTATGATTGTCTTATGGAAATACCGAGCCACTGAAACGGGTGTTGACGAGCCTCCAGAAAGGCCAATGCTAGGTAGAAGGACGCAATAGAATTTAAGATGGCTATAACCTGGCCTGCTATGGTAATGATGAAGTGAAGAAAATTCAGCAGGAGGAAACAAAAACTGAAGGTCAGTTATGGCGGCGCCCATGCACAGCTGCTGCAAAGCGTCTATTGGCACACATACGTATACTCTAGGTTGAGCTGCCATGTTCCTAATGCGAGGCACGCGGAGGGCGGTTTCTGACCGCGCAGCAGCCGGCGCTTGCGTGCTCCCTTGCGGCCGGTATGCCATCACAGGCCAGTGCACCACACGCCTCCCCCCCCCCCCCCCCCCCCCTCCCCCTACATGGAGCATCGAAGATCCCGCGAACGACGACGTTCCTGTTGGGGTAGTCTTGATGTAGCAACACCAGGAATTGGAAGCTGTGAGGTCGATATGAAATCGTGGATTGACCCGCCTGGTGTTGCTCGGTTCCTTGGTCAGTAATGCGTGCAGCTGCTTGCCCGACAGCGGGTCTACATCCGGGCTTGACGTTGCCGGAAATGAATCCGGGATCTGCACTGCGCAACTCTGTCTTGGAATGGCACTTGGCAAGCTGCAATGCCGCGTTCGGATATGATCGATGTGTTGCCGCCACACACGACCGTCTTCGAGTGGCACCTGATACGAAAGCGGGCCCAAACGGCAGGAGATCACACCCGGTAACCAACGGTTTCCGCTCGTGCTAAAATTAATTGCGAAAACTGGACTTCCGCGTTCAAATTGGCGAGCAGCTTGCTGATTGCTGGCCACAAAGGTTTCCCCCTGGCGCCGGGTTACTGCCGATCGCTGATCTGGATGTAGGCGATCTGGGGTCGACCGAATCTGTCGTCCAAAAAGAAGCTCTGCGGAGCTCTTTCCAGTAGAAGTACTGGGAAGGATGATGGGAAGGATGATGAAAAAAGAAATCTGGCAAGACGAGCTAACCATTCGCCCCGAATGATTTTCCTCAGTGATTTCTTTTTCTCCTGAACCATCCTTTCGGCTTGCCGATTTGAGGAGTGGTGGTAGGGTGCCGCAAGAACCTGGCGGATGCCGCTCCTACAGAAAAACTACTTAAAATCCCCCGAAGTAAAAAGCAGTACCGTTATCTAAAACCGAAACATCTAGCAATTCATGTGTAGCGAACAGCGATCACTGTCGAAACTGACATGGACTTGACTCGCATAACTTACAACGACCTAGAGTGTGAATCTGCTACGACAAAGAAAAACTACCCCTGGAAGGGGCCCGCGAAGTCGACGGAAAGCCTAAACCATAGTCTTGTTGTGAAGTCCCATGGGTAGATGGGGGCGCGGGCTGGCGCATTTTGGGACTCCTGGCACCGAGCGCAGCAGCGCACTCGGTGCTCTATGTCTTGGTCAAGTGTCAAGCCCCGGCCACCATACATAGTCCTTTGAAAACCCTCCATCCTCACAACGCTAGGGTGACCGCTGTGGAATAGGTTCAGCACTTCTTCTCGAAGAGGCGGTGGCACGATAACACGACCGCCCCACGAGATCCAGCTGTTGTAAGCGGACAGTTCATAACGGCGATTCTAGTAAGGCTTGACATCTTAGGTTTCTCAGATGGCCACTCATGCAGGATCAGACGCGGTATGATGGCGAGAACACGATCCTTCTTTGTTAGGGAAGCTTTCTCTTTTACGTCGACAGGCACCTCAGGGGTTGACTTGATGAGCAGAACATCATGAAGGGAAGGTACCTCGAAGTCCTGAAGCTGCTGGGGAAGGCGGCTGAAAATGTCAGCGTTTCCCATCTGTCTGCCAGGTCGGTAAATGAGCTCGTAGTCGTACTGCACCAACAACAAATCCCAGCGCAATAGACGTGGTGACAAGACCTGTGGGTTCGGTTTGCTGTGATGTAGCAACCCCAGAAGGGGCTTGTAGTCTCTAAAAATCTTTAAATGCCGTGTACAGAAATTGATGGAACTTGTTTACCCCGGCTGACAGCCAACGCCCCACAACCCGTCTATGAGTAGGTCCGTTCTACTAGTGTCCTTGTCCTTGACCCGAATGCCACTGAAGATTCTTGGCTAGACGGTGAAGCGTTGCTCGTGACAAATCCTAACCTATATAAAGAAGCACAGACCAGCACCAAGGGAAGGTTGATATTATAATCTGCCAGAACCGCGGACGACTGTAAGAAATTTTTGGCTTGTTGGAAGGCTGCCGCTTCTTTTCTGCCCCATGGCCTGACTTCTATGCGGTACATTTGTCCAGCAACCGATGGAGAGGTTCCAAAACGTGAGCGGCCCCTTTCAGAAGCCGTCCATAGAAATTTATGAGGCCAAGGAAGGACTGCAATTGCTGTTTCTCTTGCGGTTCGGGAGCAGTCTTAATGGCCAGAAGCTTGTCCTCCGTAGGATGTACGCCTCCCTTCTCTACTTTGTACCCCACGAAGGTCACTTAAAAGTTAAGACACTCCGAACTGGCACCTTCTCTTTTTCAGGCGAAGACCGTCGTCATTGATTATTTTGAGCACGGCACGGAGCCGGGCTTTATGTTCTTAACTGTTTCTATCGCCGATCACAATATCGTCGAGGAACGACAAAACACCGTCAAGTTCGACGAGCAGCTCTTCCATGCAGCGTTGGAAGATTGCTACGGCTGTAGCAACGCAAACTGTAGACGAGTAACTCAGAAAAGACCTCGATGAGTGGTGACCGTTCGGGGATCTGCTGTATTCTTGTCTCTACCTTCAGGTGGTATAAAACACCTTGAGCTCTAGCGCCTTTCAGTTGGCAAAGTGATTGGCTATTTTCCCAAAATTTATACCCCTGTCAGACGGGCTAGTTTAGTGTCACTACAAGCGAGTGCACTTCGCCCTTAGTGTCATTTCTGTAGTGTGTCACACGGCTCCTTCCTGAGGAACACACTTGGCTTGGAGTGAGTTTGACGAACTCACTCCGCTCGATCGAGTGCGTGGCATCAATAGGAGTGTTTCAACAGTAAAACATAACAACACAGAAACCAAAAGCGTCGATTAAGTTTGTTTGATAAAGAAAAAGAAATTCGTGAAAGGGACAACATGTAGAAAAGTGGCATTGCAAAAAAAAAAAAATAGTGGGGTGGACTTGGAGTTTAGGCTGATCTGAATCAAAATTACCGCAACGGTGAATTGATAAAAGAAGACGACAAAGTCAGTCATTCATGGCTATCTTGGTTAGCAGAGAATGATAGAGCCTACTTTTGTTTCAGCATGTAACTACTAGAGACAACACGATAATTATGATCTGATTAGGCAGTGTCAGGGCCTCCTCGTAGACTTCCGTGGAACGAAGCAGAACGCCAAAATTGGATATGCTTCGTTCTTCATCTTAATTAATGTAACGTAGTTTTAGAGCAGAGCTCCTAGGCACTCGTTTCTGAGTTGAGCG